ATATTTTTCAGATGAAAAATTATATGAATCAAATACAATTAATTGACAATTATCTATAAAACAAGTTCTAAACAATTCAGTTTCCTGAAACTCATTTTCTTTGCACTCAAATTCCATTCTTGCAATCAACGGACCCTAAGAGAAAAAGGTCAAGATGAATTTAAAATATTATAAATTCTAATAAATTTTGTGAATTTAAGTAAATTTTCATAAAATTAATGAAAAACTCATTATAAATGGTGAAATTTTAAAATATTTTATTTTATATATTTTTAAACTCGAAATACATTCAAATCTTTTAAAATTCATCTCTTAATTAAATTCTTATAAATCCATAAATTATTAAGGATATTTAGATTTTCAAAAATCTCATTAAATTTATTAAAATATCAGTTAGGGACATTTAAATTTTAAAATGCATTAAAATCTGGGACATTTGAACATCTGAATTTAGAAATAAATTTAAAATCTATAAAAATTTAAGTTTAGGACATCTCGTAAAGTGAAACGAACTATACGGGATTATAACTAGTAAATATTCTCTCTATTCGATAAAGATAGACATGCCTGCCATTTTCATATATCCCAAATTATAGGTCAATTTTCTTGTTAATAGTATAATTGATTACTTAATATGCTCATATTTAATATGTATTGTTATGAACAATTATGAATTATTTATAATTAAATTATTATTTAATGTAATGATATATTGGAAAAAATGAAAGTAAAATTTATTGTTCAAACTGTATTAATATATTTTCTTAAATTGTATGGAAATTAAACAAATCTATTTTTTGGGATGGAGTAACTTCTTTTAGTTAGTCTATAATTTTTATGCTACTTCTAACTATTATTAAGGAAGTTTTAATGGATTTTCCAAATATATTTTATTTGGATGTCTAAAAAAAAATGATTTTTGTTACCAAAAATACTTGCATATTAATTTCTTGCACATGGGAAAACTTTTAATATTATTTACTTTGTATATCGTCACGAGAATGATCAATTCGATTTCTTTTTAGGTAAGAAGTTCTCTATAATCCTTTGTTAATATTAAAGTTGCACACAATAGAGAGAACTCGACAACCCCAACTTATATATGGCTTGTTTGATTCTCATTATTGTAGAATGAGAATGAAAAATATAGTCGTTATTGGGTCCCACACAAGAGATAGAAATTTAAAATTGATGGCTTGATTTGATGAATAACGATCATATTTCTCATTTTTATAGATGAAAAATGAGAAACAAACGGGGGCTAAATATCAGAGTTGGCTCAATTATTCAAAAAGTAGGGTGGTCATCTAAGGCTCCAAATTTAATGAAATTTCTCAAATAAGTAAAAAAAAAAAAAAGTGATTATAAAATGATTAAAATAAATAATATGCTACTTCGATTGCTAATAACCAATGAAACGTTTATTTTTTTCACTTTTTACTTTTTTATTTAATAATAATAATAAGAAGAAGAAGAAGATGGAAAGGAAGAAGAANTGAGTATGAAAAATATAGCCGTTATCGGGTCCCACACAAGAGATAGAAATTCAAAATTGATGGCTTGATGTGATGGATAACGATCATATTTCTCATTTTTATAGATGAAAAATGAGAAACAAATGGGGGCTGAATATCAGAGTTGGCTCAATTATTCAAAAAGTAGGGTGGTCATCTAAGGCTCCAAATTTAATGAAATTTCTCAAATAAGTAAAAAAAGTGATTACAAAATGATTAAAATAAATAATATGCTACTTCGATTGCTAATAAACAATGAAACGTTTATTTTTTTCACTTTTTACTTTTTTATTTAATAATAATAAGAAG